AGGTTATCAGAATTCTGATGAAATTCTCAATTGTACTAAGGGGTCATTACATTTCATAACAAGTTTATTAAATTTAAAAGTTTTCCTTAGTTTTGACAAAATTGTGTTGAAAAGTCACACCCATTCTTACTTTTAATACTAGCATTCAGAACACTTCTTAAAAGTCATGTAGCTTTTGACCACTGGACGTGGAATTTTGGCGTTCAATATAGTATTGGGTGAACAACATCGAATTTGGATAGGCGTAATGTAGGTAAGCCACAGTCATATGTCAAAAAAGCAAGTTAGCAAACATACGCCGTACGACCAAGCACAAAGCTACTCTGGGAATGCCCCTGGACGGAGCGCCGCATAAGGTCGGGTGCGAGCGCTCCCCTCACAGGTATGTCCTGACAGCCACGCGGTCTAAGGCGTCAGGATCCGAACCCAAAGGTCCTAGGTTCGAATCCACCCAGGTAAGGTAAGGTAAACATTTGTAATATGTGGGGAGTTGGGTTTAAACATCTGTCCCCAGGGGAATGAATTAAATATTTTCCAGATTTGCGTTAGGTTGGAAAAGAAAAGTAGTTTTGGCGTTTCATAACACGTTCCTAATTTTCAAAACATGTTTTGAATTTTAAGAAACTTTTTGTTCTTAAATTTAAGAGCAAATTTGTTTTGTAAACTGCTTCAAAACGTGTGTTATTAAAATTAAGATGGATTTTTTTTACAGTGAACCGTATATATTGACATCCACCTTAAATTCCCAAATGATCCAATTTCCCTCCCTTTCCAAACTCTTCCACCTGGACGTGCCGTAAACTACACTGTAAATCTAGAGTGTCCAGCAACTGTGCGACTTAAGTCGCACGACCCAGGTTTCTGTTTCTGAGCGCACAGTTGCTGGACACCTTTGGGTGACCCAATGAGCACATAGTACACACCTGGGAATACAATGGAGTGTATCACATGCATGGGGGAAGGGCAATAGAACCTGTTGTAAATCTACTGTAAATCTGGGGTGTCCAGCAACTGTGCGCTCTAAGTCGCACAGAAACCTGGGTCGTGCGACTTAAGTGGCACAGAAACCTGGGTCGTGCGACTTAAGTCGCACAGCTGCTTGACACCCCAGATTTACAGTGTAGTGTTCCGCCTCGATCGACCCGTGTCAGCTTTGCTGCACCACGTTAAAAATTGAACGGGGCCGTCGCGCGATACGGCAGCGAAGGCGACAGGAGCATCAGCGTCGCATTACACTAGTCGTCATGCATTAGACAAGGTGTTTCCACCATGTCGCCATGGCGACAGCCGAACTGTGGACCACAAATTATGCACGAGCCGGAGAAACGTGAAGACGCGGCAGGCCAAGCGGTTCGACGGGAGTCGAGGAGCATATCGGATATTGGATAAAGTTTTTCTTGGCACTCAAGCATTGCAACATACTTTCGTTTGTAAATTGATCGGCAATCTTTAAGAAAATGGAAAACTCCGGAAAACTCGCTAAGCTAAAACAACCATTAAAATTTCGATGAAAGCTCGTTTTTAAGGTTTAGGCTCGGGGGAGACCTTACGCTGAATAAATGGTCGATATTTCCACTTCCAAGAGGGCGACCCTACACGCGTCTAGTTAAGGAAATTTTCCTGAACGACCCAAAGGCATCAACTTTTGAAGGTCTCTTGTCCTAGAACCAATGCGATGATGTCAGATGTCTGACTCCGCGGGGCAACCGGCTATCTTTATTATCTAAACAGGAAACTTGGGCAATCGAAAATCTGTATCAGAATGGGGAACTGAGGGACTGTCTAAATGGACAATGTCGAATTGATATAGCCCCAGAACCATTAAGAAACGTGATCCTGTGTAATATCGTAAATCTGAATTGTGAAAATCGTTATTAAGGTATCTGTTAGGATTTATTTCGAACAACTGGAAGGCGTCACACAACAAAATCCCCAAAACACTCGGGATGCTTAATAAAATCGCTCGCACTGCGATTGCAAATTGATGGCACGTGGAACACGAACACGAGACTGTGTTTGCCGAAAGTCACACGCCCGCTCGCAGCAGGCCCATAACTCGGGCCCAACGCGGCGCAGAAAGGGCCCTCAAATTTTCATAAAGACACACATTTCTAATCATCCGCGCGTCGTGTGTGTGTGTGGGCCCAACAGCAGGAGACACGGGGCACGATCGGCTCGGCGACGAGGAAACGACGACGAGGGCGGCGGAGACACCACCGCGATCAGCGAATCATGAGAGGCCAGCAGCGCCGCGAGGAGGCCGCCACTATACTTGACGGGCTGTACTCGAAGGTATTGATCGCCCCCATCGACACGCCGGGCGGCGCGCCACCTCTCCTCAACGAGGGGCGGAAGGGGGCAAAATGGTGCGCCAAAAAAACAAAATACAAACGCGACTGTCCAAAAAAAACGATGGTTTGTGCGGTCACCACACCATACAAAGTAGCCCGGTACATATAGACACGCGGTTGGTTTCCATGCCGAGTGCGAAGAGAGCGAGCTAGAGAGCGAGCTAGCGAGCGAGCGAGCGTGGTGAGGGACGATTATCAAAACGTCCTTGACGCGCCTGCGCCACGCCCCGCCACGCCCCGCCGCCGTCGCCGCCCGGGCGACTACTCTACGACGGGTCCCGCCGCGACGCCTTGCCGGCACGGCGCCACACGACGGCCGGCGGCCCGGCGCGCGACACCTGATACCCACACATCCACCACCCGAGGGGACCCGGCGGACCCGGGGGGTGCAAAAGGCAACCCAACCTCGACCGTGTCAGCCCGAACGGGGGCGTCCGTCCCGTCCGTTCTTCTCCCCCCCCTTTCGCCAAACAGGACAGGGTTGGACGCGTGCGACATCACCCGGACGTCCGCCAGACGCGAGAGACGCCCCATGGTGTGACAACCGCGCCCACTCCCTTTCCCAGGCCCCGCGTTCTCACCAAAAAAAGCCGCGCCGTGATGGAGCGATAAATTGGAGGGGTAAAAAATGATAAAAAGGGCGCGTGCGCACGTCACGACATCTTTTGTTTGGGTTTACACCCTATTAGACAATTACGCACGAAAATAGATTTTAAATAAAAAGGGCGCGATGCCGGAATTGATTACACGAGCCAACCCCTCCTGTTGGGCTGATAACAGCTCTGACGAATAAGGGACTAATCGTCAAATCAGCAAATTCGATTACGCAATCAATAAACACGGCAATTTTCTTTCAAACTGACCGGCGGCCCGCGCCCCGCGGGGAGGCCACCACAGCAAGCCGACGCGGGCTGGAGGGGACGCGCGGGGCGGCCGCGGCAACCAAGTGCAGCAGAGGCACGACGATGTAGCAGCAGCGGAGTCCAGCAAAGAGGGCGCGATGCATAAACCAGCGCGGCACCTCCTCGGCCGAGTCCTCGGCGCACCGTCGCCGCGCGAGCCGACAGGGGGCGGCCCTCCCCGTCATTAGCTGCATTATTGATGCACCGACAAGAGTTTACTAGAGAAAGAAGAGGCCAATAAATGTAAAACTGTCCCACGACCATCACGACGATAGTCGCTGAGGCGCAGCAGAAAAGCACCAAAAGAAAGGAATATGCCAAGAAGCTAAAAATTTAGCAAGTTGCAAAAAAAATACGTAGCTTAAATTT